AAAAAAAAATTCTCGTGGTCGACTGGGTCCAGACATTGGGTTGCTGTCCCATCTAGAACACCCATAGGGTGGGAGCCCCTGACACATCGAATTTTTTGTGTTTACTACTTTGGACTAAAATTTTAAATGTAGTAGATAGAATATCTACTAGATAGAACATACCTTGTTGTGCAAGCATCCCATCAAAGTGTCTATGCTATAACAGCTAAGTACCACTTTTTTAAAACTGTTTTATCGACATTTAAGTCTAGCACCACTCTTTAATAACCTCCTGGAAGTCATCTCATTAGCAAACGGAGGTGAAAGTCCTATGAAAGGTTCAGCCGATGGAAGGGGCACCATCCTGAGAAAGAGCAGCAGCTCCCAGTGCTCCACCTGCCGATGAGTCCTTGCTGGTTGCAACCACTGTCCGAACAAGCAGTGGAACCAGGGGCAGTTTGCTCCCGGGTGTCAGTGTAAACTCCCACTGACAATTCATAAAAATGTCCACTTTTAAAGCCCACAGGACCGACCACAGGATGCCCTCAGATAACAAAGTCTGAAGGCTTTGATTAATGGAAACATGACGTGGGCATTTATAAAGAAGGCTGAATACTTAAATATTCCCATCTCTTTTCTAACCAAGCACCTCTTACTCAAGGACAGTCCAGGTGAGGTTACTAGAGCAACAGGTGGTCCTGCTGACCTTTGCCCTTCTGAGGTCAATATTGCAAAAGCATGGTGTAGTCTTGGTACTTCTTCACCAGGGCACACTAGGGAGGCCAGCAAGGTCATGTGGGGCAGTTTCCGGTGAAGACTCTCTCACACACACACACACACACACACACACACACACACACACACACTGGCTCCTTACAGAGAAACGGAGAGATGTTTGGTTGCCTTCCTTTGCCCTTGTCCAACTGATAGGATTTACACTCTTCAATAGAAGAGGAGAAATTGGGCATGATGGTTGACAGACAGTAGGATTTTTTTTTAATCCATACATTATTTTGACTCTGCCTCCTTCCCTAGTGGCATCGTGGTTATCAGTTGGGCTTCAATGCCGAAGGGCCGGAGTTCAAAGCCAACATCCGCTCTCTGGGAGAAAGACAGTCTTGGAAACTCACAGAGGCCATTCTATCCTGTCCTATGGGGTCGCTATGCATCAGGATTGACTTGACGGCCATGAGTTTTGGGTCCCTCCACAGGTATTAATTAGCGTCATTAGGAATCCATCCTATTGACCACAGCATTGTAACCCAGTCAGCCTAGAAAGTTCAAGAACAAGGTTTACCCCATATGGACCAACAATGAGATGCACGGCCTGCTAATTGTAACTCCAACATCTGCCATCTCATGACTTGTGCCCAGAAAGTCGGCCTCCTCCCACTCCCACCCCCTTGCCCGCATCGCACACAGGAGAGTACAGAGCCCTCCGATATGGCTTACCTGTGGGGTGAGTTTGCCAACCCTCTGGGTGATTGGCTCATTCACCACCACTTCCACTTTGCAGGCATCCTTCTCTTTGGGGACAGCAAACTTGAGATTGTCCTCCGACAGGAAGGCAGAACGGCCCTTCATCACAGTCACCCCTAGGTTCACGCTGATGGAGGTGGGGCTGGCCTGGCCCAGAAGCAGCAGCAGCAGGAGGGGCAGCAGAGCACTGGGGACCCCCCAGCACAGAGAGGGCATGCTGACCGAGGGCAGCTTGACCGTCACCAGTGAGGTCCTGCACAAAGGAGGTGCCTCAGCTTCCTGCAGGAGGGCCAGCTCAGAGTCCGCGGAGCCAGGCCAGGGGTCCCGACAGTGCGCCCCAGGGTCTCAGCACACCCCTTTCATTTCGAACTCAGACAAGGAGGCCTTTCAGGAGAGGCCGAGGCTTTTAATAAAACTCGCTGATCACTCCTGACAACGCTGGCAAGATTAATGTGGCTCCCACGTGCTTTCGAAATCCTGCAAATGGGAGGAGAGAGAGAGAGACCAAAAGGTTGGTGCAGCTACTCAGAAGATTGCCACCGACAAAGGAATCTTTCAACCAGTCTATACTTTCAGCTAAATTAAAAACAAATAAACGAACTTGACCTCCAGCCACATAAAAGGCCCCACAAGCCATTTCATTACCTCGACTGCAGCCCCCGCTTCCGGCCCGACCTGCCCCCACCGGCAAGTCATCTGGGTGGTCCCATCAGACACAGCCGGCCTTGCATGGTCCTGGGGGCTCAGAGAGCTGCCCGACTCGGCCTCTTTGTGGTTAGGGAAATGAGGATCCAGCCTAATCTGTGCGAGCAGATGCGGTTCCTTCCTTGCCGTTTGAAAGCAAGACTGATTCAAAAGCAGTTCGCCCCAAAGGGGACAGGGCCTGAACCATGTGTTGTGTGAGCACCTTCCCGGCTTTGCTGGGCTGTGAGGACACTTGGCTTTCCGCCAGAGTGGATGGAACATTCATTCGGGAAACAGAGCGGTGAGGGTTATCCTGCCCGATGTAACAGGGCTGATGTACGTGTGAAAACAGTGACATGGGAAAGGTATTGTTACAAATATATAGTTACCACGATGAAAAAGAAAATACTGGACTGGAAATTGGAGTACATGCATATATATATAGCGCCTATATATATATTTCATCCCCTGTATATATTTCCCCTAAGTGCCTACTTAAGTTTGTGTTTATATACAGCATTATTCACTGCCTACAAGTCAGTTCCAACAGAACTACCTGATAGGGTTTCCACGGCGGTAAGTTCTTCCGGAAGCAACCTGCCATCTTTTCCTCCTGAGTCAAAACCAATGGGTTCTAATCACCAACCTTTTGGTTAGAAGCAGAGCACTTTCACTGCCGTACCACTAGGACACCTTCTACGTGTAAAAGAAACTACACACCCAGCGACACAAGTTTGAGGATTCACAACAAATGGCCCTGCTGCGTATATTATCTACCATTACCATCAAGGCAGTTACTACTCACAGTGGCACGCTACAGGACGAAACGGAACGTGGACACCATTGAAGGCGTGATGCACAGCACTTAGTCGGCCTCAGGAAGATCCATCTTCCACAGCCCCATTGTTCTAAAGGGAGAAAAGAGAAAACAAAAAAGGGCATTCACACCAAAGGAAAAGACTTTTCAGGCTATGATCAGGCCCGGAGTGGGAGGAGTGAGGAGGAGGAGAATAAAGGAGGGAGGGCAGACTGGGGGGAGGGGGGGAAGAAAAGAAAGAATCGTATACACATGGAGGGGTAGGAGGTGGCTGGGTGGGACTTGGGGCGTGGGGGCTGGGGAGGGTTTGCTGGGGTCCTGTCTGTCCTGATGCGATGTGCCTGTGTAACTCTACAGAATGTTTTCTTTGTACATGTCATATTCCACAAATAAAAGCAGAACATGACATAAATCAATCAAGAACTGTAAAATATATGTTAAAAATAAAAGGGCCACTGCCTTCAAAATCCTCCAGTTTCTTTGCGCATCCGATTTAACCTTTTGAAAGTCACAGTTGGTCGAACCGAGTGGCTATGAAAGGAGAGAACTTAACATGGAAGCTGACTTCAATTCTTTGGTGATATGTGAGCTAGTTTCAAATAACAATGCCAACAAAGAGTGTCAATCTGGCTGTGAACCTTTTACTCCCAAAGTAGCACATACAAGCGGTGGAGAAGTCACAGGGTAGGGAGATCTCCCCCCAAAGTGAGAGACAGGGCCATACCACTGCTCTCTGAGAAGTAAATGAATTAAATCCATCCCGGTGCCTGCGTCCTGCACATATGCTAGGATTCTGTTCCCCGGCCACCGCTCAGCCCCGGGAAGAGGCGCTTCTCGCACTGGCTGCTGCTGCATGGTCTCCTTTACGGGCTCTTTCTTGACTCCCTGACTTTTTTAGGTTCAGTCCTCAGGCCTCTTTTGTATCTACCCTCCCACCCTTGTGCTCTGATTGCCATTTTGATGCTGATGAGTGTCCCACATTTCTCTCTCACCTGGACCTTCCCCCAAAGCAGGGATCTCGATATCTCCAACAAAACACAAGTGTCAGAAGGGGCCACCCTGAGCCATGGATCAGGGTGTGCTATGAGTTCAGCGAGCAGAGTGCATGGATGAAATCCATAGTCAGGATCCATAGCGCTGAGTTTGAGACTGTGGAGGTGAAAACCAAAACAGCCTTTGTCCCATCATCCCCACACAATCATGAGAATCTCTCCGACAGAGAGCAGGCGGCCTCTGCCATGATGGGGCACAGGGTGGGCACTGCAGCATGGTCCCCAACGGTGACCAGTGCAAACGTGGCAGAGAATGGCGGCAGAGCAGCTCTATGCGCCCAGGGGATGAAACGTAACTTTCAAAAGGGAAATCAGACAGGAGTGCAATTCTTTATCGGATGCACCTGGGCTCACCAGGAGTCAGAAGCAACCCAGGGACTTCCTTTTTTTTTCTTTGCAAAATTAGAAAAGTCGAGACGAGATAAGTGGGAATGTTGTACTTTGGTAAAATAATACAGTATTTGCATCTAGAGAGAGAGAGGGTGGGGAGAGGAAGAACTGCTATAGAAAGAGGCAGCTAGAGAGAGATGATGTATACTTCCGTGGGTAGCGAGTTGTGTGGGAAGTGGAAGGTGGTATTAGGGTGTTGATAGGGAGTGCCTGGGACAGTAACGAAATCTGGACGGACGAGCCAAAGGAGGAGAAAGAAGGGCCACACGGGAAAAAAAGGAAAAGAGGGGGAACATTCACTTTAAAAAACAATAGCATGCATACAAAGATGCCTACAAAGATGTAAAACTGCATGTATGTGTGGGACCAAAGAAGAAATTTCAAAATGTATTTATAATATACTAAAGAGTTTTTGAAAGCCACACTTGCAGGGAAATTGAGACAGAACCCTTATATGAACAGCAGGGTTTTATGGAACGAAAAATGGATGAGTCATCTAAGGATCTGACTTTTGGCAAAGCCAAAATGAACGGGTCCCAATGCAATCATGTTGTTCCACTGAACATGAGCTCAAGGACATCTGTTTGTAGCAGGACTTCCCTGGTTCAAGCCCAGAGAGACACAGAAGGCGGGGAGGCCTTTTTCCTGAGGTGTCCATCCACACAGTAGTAGCAGGACTGCTCTTCCCGAACCAGAACCAAGGAACCCAGAAATATGGGGAGATACCCTCCCCCACCACGGATTACCCCCAGTAAAAATAACATCAAGAAAAACTGTTGCTGTCCCACTCCTAGTGACTGCTTATGTGTCAAGGCAGAATTGTGAGAATTGTGCTCCTTCGGGTTTCCCCTGGCTAGTTTTTTCAGGAGGAAATTGCCACACATTTCTTCCAAGGTACCAAGGAGTGTGTTCCAACCTTCAACCTCTCAATTAGCAGCCAATGCTTTAACTGTTTGCACCACCCAGGGACTGGCTCCCTTTGACTAGATTATCAGCGGAGTATGTCCGATTCCCCGGGAACAGTCCTAGGCAGAGGGTGGGCATGTGATCCCGGAAGTCCCTTCTCCTACCACCCACGCAGGCAACAGCTGAAAGAAATTCTCCTTGTAACTCCGGCAGGGGTGTGGGGATGTCTAGAGTATACGAAGCAAGTAAAACAAGGGCTCTGAGCGAGGGTTCGGGTCCTGATCTCGATACATGCTGTGAGTGACCAGTCAGCCTGTCTCTAAAGCTGTCCTGTTCATGTTTTACCGTGCATCCCAGCTCCGCTGTCACCCCCGCCACACTCTCAGTATTATTACTTTGCCGCGCAACTTACGGGAGTTTAATGAAGAAAACCGTGAGTGAGAAGAAGGAAAGAAGGATCCGTGGGCGAAAGACGAGGCTGTTTACTCCCTTAAAGAGTGAGACAGTTAAGGTTTATTGTGCCAACCTGGCCGATAAACACATGTGGGGGTAATTGAAGGGCGGAGAGATAAATGGCTCAGTGAGCCTCGCCTTTCTAGTTCTCGGGTCCCTTGCTTTCTGATGGTCAGACCAGGGTGCAGCTGCCTTAGCCAGTTCTCTGCTTCAGCTGGCAAGGCTGACTTCCTGCAAGACATCCCCAAGGAGAAGCCACATGGACCTACCCCAATGCAGCCCTGGGTGCTGGAGCAGCCATGTGGAGACCCCTGCCAGAGCTGAGATGCTTACATGTTCACTGATTTGGCTTCCCTCCCACAGTCAGCGTCATAGTGTGTGTTTTGTGAGATGGAGGAGGATTTTGTAGACCGGCATCGGACATATGGGCTAAGGTTGGACTGATGGGCTTGGACAGCACTGGGTTGGGATGATTTCTTGATGTACACTTACCCTTTATATAAAACTCTCTCATATATATGAGTTTCTGTGGATTTGTTTCTCTAGTCTACCCAGACTAACACAAAGGATTACAGTCATGGAAACCCACCAGGGCAGTTCTGCCCTGCCCTGTAGGGTCACTATGAGTCAGAATCGACTGGATGGCAAGGAGTTTTCGAGTGAGTCCACACTTAGAGGCAGCGTGGGTATACAGTATAAATCAGTCAGTCTCCATGGATGGCCAGCTGTCTTAGAGACACGGTCTTACTTCACCCCGGAACGGATTCTGTATTTTGACTGAGGGTTGCCTTAACCAAAAAAGACATGGGGACCAAGGACGGCACAAATCAACCAAGCTCTTCCTGCATGTCAGCATGGACAAAGGCAACCAGGCTCAGCTTAGAGCGCCCCTAAGAACCTGCAACCAAGGCTCC